AATTTTATTAGAGAATAATGTACAAACATTTTTGACCTAAAATGCTAATATAGTGAGAGTGTATGCTAATTTGGAAAAAAACAAAATGTTAAAATATGCTTCTAAAAGTGCAAATATCTGATATTCATAACAAAGTATATCAGGATGTCTTGGCAAAACACAGGCAGTTTACAACACTTACATTGTTTCTAACACAGATTTTACCCAATATTTGAAAATATAAAGTATGTTTGAATAAACCCTGGATTCATGTTATCACTGCACTGAATCACAAATCCTACAACGAGCATCAAACCAAACGGTGCCTTGAGTGCATTCTTTCCATCAGCTCTCTTCCTGATCTCCCCTCTTCGGGGTCCTTCCTGACAGGCTATGTACTGTAGAAGGCTGTCCGTGCTGATGCCTGTATGTATGTACGCCGCTCTCCACCTGTCATCTCATATCTCTGCCTCCGCCTCCGTCAACCTGCTTCCAGCCCAGCAACCAGCCAACCAACCAGTACAAGCCTGTTGCTAGGGCAACGGCTATCTAGGGGATACTTCTTTTGTTTCTCACACCTCCTTTCCTTCATCCTTCTTTCTATCTCTTCCCTACTTTCACTCTTTCTTCCCCCTCCGCTATCTTTTTTGCCCATCGATATGTCTGTCAGCCTCTCTCCTCACATCTGTCTCACTCCCTTTCCCTCCCTCCCTCCTTCTGTCTCTCTTCTCTTGAACACAGACGGGTCGCTCTGATGCTACAGTACCTCTTACCTATAAATTCATAAAAAAAATGAAAAAACTGAGACTCCCCCTATAAAATTAATTGTGTCTGTACATGTATTAATAGGTGTAGACATCATCTCTCCCACTTCGACACAAATTCAAACAGTTACAGAACGGTCAGGACATTACATTTGGTTGTCACAGACAGTCTGTGCATCACTGCTGCCACTGGCATTTAAAGGTTCAGAGATAAAGCTAGGTCAGCCCAATGTGATCTTCCCTGCGTATTTTACTCAAGGGACTCTGGGTAGTGTGTGTGTGTGTGTGTGTGTGTGTGTGTGTGTGTGTGTGTGTGTGTGTGTGTGTGTGTGTGTGTGTGTAAGACTGCATACATGTATGTGTGTGTGCATGCTTTAATGTGTACATATCTTAATAATAGACAAGAATTACAGACTGCATCACTTGGCAAAAATTCTAAAACTGGAAACCAACATGGCTCTTAGTTTCTATTCCCCTGTCACAGCTTGTAATGCAGCACCTCATGAAAGCTGATTTTCATCTTCCATGCTTCTCAAGGCTGTGTTACTTATTGTGTGCTGCCCTCTACTGATCACACAGCAGAACATACACAGGGGAGAAAAACAAACAAGTGACAGTGGGATAGTAGGTAATAGTGCTGGGCGGTTTTAAGTTTCTGTATGAAATGAAATTTTCATAAAGCACCCTCCCATTGCAAAGCTGGAACAACTACTGTAACTCATTTATTTATTCTGCAATAGAACATTTGAGAAATATCTCTTTGAATACATAAATAGTATTTTATAGTAATTTTTAGTATTTTATTTCAGTTTATAGTGTTTATACAACTATTTTAAAATATTTTGCTTTGAAAAGGAAGCAAAGTTAAAGTTGTGTGCATATTTTTTATTTTTATTAAGAAAAACTGTTTCGGCTTACCTCTTCCAAATCTTTGTTATTATTATTGGGCCTCAAATGTTCAAAAAATCATGCACTGGCTCCACACTCCTGATATAGACTGGTGCCATTTTGAAGCTGCATCTTGCACTTCAACTTCTCTTAGAGCCCTGGTCACCTCCAGCTTTCCCATCTCTATCTCTCAATTCACCAACAATCCAGTAGTCATAAATACCCTCAAAATATGGTTTCAACTTAGCCGTAGCTTCGGGTTTAATAATCTTCTCCATCTAAGTCCCATACACAATAATCATCTTTTCCTCCCAGCTAGGTAAGACTCCGAATTTATTCTCTGGCAAAGACAAGGCATTTATAAATTTAGAGATATGTATATAAACAGTATTTTCACTAGCTTTGATGACTTGTCACATAAATTTAGCCTCCCTCGGTCTAGCCTGTTTCGATATTTCCAAGTCCGCCACTTCCTTCAGCATCATGATCCCAACTTTCCATATATACCATCACTTTCTGGTTTAGATGCTCTGTTAGAAACTACTTTCTGCTTTAAAAGACTTATTTCAAGAATCAACAACTGTATATCTTCTTTTAAAAATACAACTCTTGCAAAGATCAAGGCAGACTGGCTGGATGAGCTGGGAGAGGACTTGGAAGAAGACATTTGGGACAGCGCTCTACTAAGAGTGAATGACAGCACTTCGTGTGCCAAAATTAAGTATAATACAATTTAAGATCTTACATCGCAGCCACTACTCCAAAGCCAGACTTGCTAAAATATACCCTAACACAGATGCAAGCTGCGACAGGTGTCGAAACACTCCTGCCGACCTAACCCATATGTTTTGGTCGTGCTCAGCCCTAGCATCCTATTGGTCTGCGATCTTTAAAACAGTGTCAGAAGCTCTTAATATTGACCTACAACCCAACGCAGTAATGGCCATATTTGGTACTACAGACAGAAGATATTCTACAATAAGGAAAATACATAAAAACATCATTGCTTTTACAACACTGCTTGCACACAGAAGAATTTTATTACAATGGAAATCTAAAACTCCACCTAGTGTGTCTCTGTGGTTTAATGACCTAATGCAATTCCCCTGTTAGAGAAAATAAAATACACTCTCAGGGGGTCCAGGGACAAATTCTTTTCTGTCTGGGATCTAGTGCTGAAATACTTGGGTAAACTTAAGACTGTGCCCACTTAGCAGCCCTCTAGCATTTACAGTTGTGATATTCATATATAGTGTGTAGTACACAACTTCAACAATGGTGAGCCTATGTTTGTATGTGTGTTTTTTCTTTTATTATATATTTTTTTAATTATTATTACCTTTTTTAGTATTATTATTATCATTATTGTTATTATTATTATTATTATTATTATTATTATTGTTACTATTATTATCCTTTCTACTTTCTGGATGGATGTCCTATGTGTTCTGGGGGGGGCAATAATTCATACACAATAATGATGTGAGCATCGGTCCAAAGTTCTTTTGTGAATGTTGTATCTATGTACATATCCTGTACTATCAGTGCTCAATAAAAATACAATTTAAATTTTTTTTAAAAAAGAAAAACTGTTTCATGCATTCTGATTCCTTCATATATTGATTTGTGGGGCCAAAAAGCCTTCAGTATATATGTGATAAAGATTTTAGGTCATACCACCCAGCACTAGTTGGTAATTTGATTTAACTTACAATAAAATTAAAAATCTACAATATATACAGTAAGTGACTGAATTAGATGAATGATTCCACAGTAGCTTCACATTATTTAAGCCGAATTCACAGCACTCAGTGATTCAGTTTGAAGAATAAGTGCTCTGGTAAAATGATTCTGACAAAAAGATGTCATAAAATGTAATAAGGTGCATGCAGCATTTTACAGGCTCAAGGTAATCTCTTTAACAGATAGCAGATGACCAAGAACTGATGCCAATTTGGTGCAAATTGTATTTTGGTCTGGGAACAGTGGGATTAAGAAACAAAGTGTGTAAACAAAGGTGAGTTTGATTTGGTAATTTCCTGTCCTCTCTACTGTCTACACACCAATACAGGGGATAAAACAGGCCTTTTCATTTGGATATGTCAAAGGTATAAATGATCAAAGAAAAAAAGAGTTTCAGAGTCCTGGTATTGTTAATGCTGACTCACTGTCATGCTGAATAGAGCTGAGCCATCATTAATGTTATTAGTATCACCTGTGTTTGTCAGACTCTCCACTGTATATTCACTGGAACGGGGTAATTAGTGGAAATAGTTTCAGATGTGTGATATAGAAATACCACTAGAACAATATACTGAATCGTGCATTTTACAGTCTTGTCAAATTTTTGTTAAAATCCTCAACAATAACTGTTTCAAAGAATCTGTTGCAGTACAGTAAATCTGGTCAAATTTACATTAAAACTGCAATAGGTGACAAACGGACAGTATATACGCTACTGTATTAATTAATACATGGTTGCTATTAACTGAACCTCTTGAAATATCATATTTTAAATGTAATTACACAATATTACATTAGTGTGACACATATCTTACACGGTGAAAGATTTGAACTTTTAGAAATTATTGAAATGATATGAGCCATAGAAATCTGCCCTAACACTGAATTCTATGTTCTTAAACCCCTGGACCAGGTCAAGTTAAATCTGTTATTAGCTCTGCTAAGCTTATGCTGACACATCTATTTCATCAAGACACTTCTTACACTATGGATGCAGCTGACCTTCAAAACCCAAGCTTATGTTTATGTAAATAGTTACTTTGTTTTAAGGCTTGTCTCCCTTATGTGTCACAATTTAAGCAAAGAGAGACGTGAAGAAAAAAAGACAACAGAACTGAATCAATAAGTTGATTAATTGATTGTTAGAAAATCAACTTTGATAACTACTTAATAGATTACGTTTTTATGCAATTTTTTTTATCACAGCACATATTATAGGTGGCAGGTGTTTGTATACGTGTGTATGTGAGTGTGTATCCTTGAGTGTGTGTTTGTCTTCCTGCTGTGAATACCTGAGAACCTGAATGTCTATCATTCTTTTCCTCCTCAGCAATGAGGGTGAGAATGAGGCTAAAGGTGAATGCCGCTGCGTGGATAAGGCACCAAGTTCCCACAAAATCACCCAAAGTGCAAAAGTATTGTTTAAATTCATCATATTTTAACCTGAGGTGTAACAGGATTATGATCTTTGACATATTTTTAATAATTCGCCTTGTAGAAGTTAAGTAATGAACTGAATTATATTTCAGTTCATTACTTATTTGAACATATTAACAAACAGTTAAAGGAATGCCTGTCCTTCACTATGTGGTTATGTGCCTGTTGTAAAAGACTAAAATTAGTCACCTGTGAGGATGTTCTCAGCCTTGACTTTGACTTGCACCTCCAGTGAGTGCTTGGAGGTGTAAGTGATCTCAGCGGTGACGTGGGCGACCTCGCCAATGAACACGGGGGACAGGAACTCTGTCTTCTCCACCCGAACCAGAGCTGCCAAACAGCGGTCCTACAGAGGAGAAACAGACAAACCTTAAACATATGAGATTTAAAACATTAATATATCAGCAAACAACTATTAGCTATGTAAAGATACTCTCTCTTTGCTTTGTTTACATTGCTGGTCTGCTCTGAGTGCAGCTGAGTAAAGAGACAGTGAATTAAAGATTTATTTCGACTAAAGCAGCGTGTATTGTTGGAACAGTTGAAAGAGTAACAAAATCTTACTTCAATTACCGTTCCTGTCTATGCAGGCAGGCGGCGAGCAATTTTAAGTTTTTTTCTGGTTGAACAAAAGATCTTTGTAGGGATCCTTTCTTTAATATTAGCATGGCAAAAAAATAAGCACTCTTACTGGACATACTTCGACTGGCATTTTTGTCAAGGATTAACGTTAGCTTATGTTGCACCATTACAGCCCTGCATTATTTTTGCATCTAACTCTGTAAATTACGGGTTTATTTTGACCAAACCAGCATTGATGATTGTAGAAAAGACAAAATCTGTTTTGGTGAATTTTATTTGGTTGTTTTTTAGAGATACTGGTACATTAGTGCAACATCCAGTGACAAGTGAATTTTCTCTATATAACTTTTAAACACATATCATACACACATTCACAACACCAAACGAAAGTACACACTGACTTTCATCACCCTCTACTGATGGCCAGTACAGGAAGCAACAGCATTAACAAGCATTAATAAAAAACCCTAAGTAAATATCCTAATCTTATATTTACATTTAAAATATAGTCTTGTTTTGAATATGGATTGGATTATCTAGTGTTGACTATTCATGGCTGTTTGACAAGTAAATAGTAAACTGAAATATTGACCTGATGAGGGTGACAGAGGAAAAGTATCAACAAGGTCATATTCTCTGGAGTTGTGAATATCTGTACCAAAGTTCATGGCAATCACCTTACAGTTGGAAAAACATTTTACTCAAAACCAAAAAGGTCAACCTCATGGTGACGCGAGAGGAAAATCCAGGGAATCACCAAAGTCATTCAGAAACATTGTCTGGGGAAAAAGATATTTCACTTTGGACAGTGTTGGACAGACAACACTGCCATGGCTACAGCCACTGTAGCCAGTCAGCATGGTGGTTCAATAGTCAACATTGTCCCAACATCAAGACTGCAGGTTTAAAATCTGATTTTGAGTTTAAAGGTACCATGATGTCTGTAATAGATAAAAACACACAACATATGTGCAAATTTTACAATCAGCAAGAAATCAAAAGACGGGCAGGTACAGAGGAAACTTAGATCTTAAGCACAGACGTGACAGCCTACTGTTTCAGTAAAACACATTGTGAGGAAATACAATACAACTGATTATGAAGAGATATTTCTTCTGTAATTCTGTATTTTGTTGGTTCACACACAGTGTTTTTATGTGAAGTGTAAACTGATAAACTGTTCACAAAAAGGGAGGTTTCAAAAAATCTATGATTTTTACTGTTTTTACGTAAAGCACGTTGATTTGCACTAACTTGTATGTAGGAAAGGTGCTATATAAATAAAGTTTGATTGATTGATTGAGATGGTACCACCGACTGAAATGTAACATAACCATTAAACATAAATCATAGAACTGGAATTTGATATGAAAACACAGAGATCATTTAAATGTATAAATACTGCACAGTATACTATTCTATTAATTAACTAGCTCAGAAGCTTAAAGTTAACAGTTTCATTCTTTATTACAATAGTTCAATGTGTCTTTAATGTGGTGGAGTTAAACCAAAAATGTGTTTGTCTTATCTGAACAGTGAAATCGGACATAGCAAAATTTGATCACATAGTTCTAGCAGGCGAGATCACAATCAAATGAAGTCAAAAGCAGGCTAAAGTTCACCAGGTGAAAAGTAAAGCTAAGACAGTGAGCAGGAAAAAAAATCTGGGCGAGGCAACAGTGAATAAAAACCACATTAATGCATGATTAATGCTAAATAAGCTGTTACATACTGTAAATACACACGGTGAATTTGTCATGGTTTTCATAAATGTATCTCAAATTAAATAAGTGAATACATTTAATGCTGCAAACATTGTGTGTTAATAAACATTTTATGTTCTATAAACAGTGTTTTCTAAAAGCTTCTAAATTCCTTAAAGCAATGACCCATCCAAAGCTTTTTTTGAGAAACAACCAGATTATTTTTCCCTTTTAATGTTCTTCATCTGCTCAATTTTCCTTTGTTCCATATTAATAAAAGAAGATGTTAATGTAAGTAATGATAATAATGTCTTTCTTTCTTAAGCAGTTCACATTTATTGTGCGACACAGACAATTTCTGCACTGCAGACTATTATGCACATTATATCTTAGTCTGTTTATTCCCGTGTTGAAGAGGAATATTAAGGAGTAAGTAAAGGACAAAAGTTTGATTTCAAATATTTTGCTGCTAAAATTAACCATATAACATGACGATATTTACCCATAGCAGTACAATAAAATACTGCTTAAATATGATTTAAGAGTAGGCTCTGAAAGTAGTTAGGGTCTCTTACCCCATTCTGTGTGTTGCAGTGGCGCGTGCCGATGATGCATCCAGCTTCCTCAATCATCTTGAGGATGATGCCGCCGTGGACGTTGCCCACAATGTTGGCGTCGTTTGGCCGCATGATCCTGCAGTAAAGAGAAGATTAGTTAGCGTGACGGATCTGATGGTACGACTGTCATCCTGTTAAAAAATATTACACTGTTGATCAAAAAAAGGGGAGAACCTGACCAGCTGTGCTAACGGATCATTTAAAAATACAGGAAAGAGCCAACATCTTAAGTCTCAGGCAGTGGCTGGCAGAGGAGGTGTGCCACTGAGCCGCATTTCAATTAACTGACACATTTAGTTATTAATTTATTCAGTGGACTGACTGATATTTAGTTGAGGCAGCTTTAATGTATGTTGAAACCTCATCTGTAAAAAAGAAAGAAATCTGATATAATTGTTGGCAAGAGGCCAGCAGAACTATACAAACATGCTGCTGTGATGTGCTTCCAGATAGTCAGTGTTTGTATGGTGTGCTAAATACCGCTTTTACTGTTTGGATATTTTCTAATTCTAAAGTATGTAAAGCATGTAAATAAGTCATTTTTGACTCCAGCCTAGCCTCTCCATGTCTATCTGATGACTACATTCAGTATCAGTGACGGTGCAGAATGTGGTCGTGTACATCAGCTGATCCCAGTTCCTCTGTGTGTGGGTTGAACTAGTCTTACCAGTTACAATCTCATCAGGCGCAAACACATAAGGAATGCACCATTGAGATCTGACTAATCGTGTGAATCAAAGCTTTACAGAAGCGTGTAAGTAAGTGTGTGTGTGTGTGTGTGTGTGTGTGTGTGTGTGTGTGTGTGTGTGTGAGTGAGTGTGTCTGTGTGCAATAAAAAGCAACATCTTGACAGCATGGGCAGTCCCTTATTTTACAAAAATGTGATTGTTTTAACAGAACTGATTGAGCAATAGTGATTGAATTAAATTAAATCAATAATTAATCATCGGGAGATTACTACTGATGCCATGTTAAAACGATTAATGTCCCTTGTTTATATGAATTAAAGAGTACAGATCACTTTCCATAAAAACAGTCTGAGTTCCTTTTAAACATTTAGGGAAATTTACAATTGCAACACTAAGTAACAGTTCACAGGAACCAAGAACAGAGCAGGAGCACAACACGACACTGTTGTATCATACATAGTAACCAGAAAATAAATGAGTAACTCCTGTATATTGCAAACAACAATAAACAACAATCAAAACGTTTAACAAAAGTAAATTTTTCGTATTAGTAGTATTTTTAGTATTCTTGTATGACTCGTCAATTTTTCGAAAAAAGTGTGTGTGAGGGGAAGAGAGAGAGAGAGAGAGAGCGAACCAGACAGAGTCTCCTGTATATTCAGCATCACTGAGTGTGTGTGTGTGCTTCAGAGAAGAACTACCTGCTGAGTTGAGCTTTAGGGCCCTGCTGAGCTCCTGCCTCCCAACCAGCCCCGACATCTCTGCTGACTTGCTGATTTTGACTCGCTTGGCGTTTCTCCACCACCACCGCTGTCCTATCCACTTCATCTACTGCCTTGCTGCTCCGAGGCCTAAAGCAACGCATCTTTGCACTCTAACTTGTCTCTCAGTCTTACTCTCTAACTTCCCTTCTGTATGATCTCTTCATTCACATCTTCTGAGATTTTGGGCCTTGACATTGATGCCGGGCGTGACGTCATGCAGCTGACCCCGCCTTAGCTGTCACAACTGGTCAAACTGGATCTCAACACACCTGCTAATTCCCAGACAGACAGCAGTTAACGAATAAAATCTGCCATCATCACATGTAGGTTTGTGTGCCACAGCTCATAGGTAGAATAAGAAATATCTTAATAACACACGAGGCACCCTTAAGAGTTATAAAAATGTTGTTTCTGTTGAGTCAGAATGTGCATTTTCTCTCCGAAAATCTATCCCTGATTGCTAAATTTATAAAAACATATCTCAAAGGGATTTTTCTTCAGCAATAACAAATAAATGTAGAATTAGATCAATAGTTATAATACCAGACCAAGATTTTAGAAATACTCCACTGGCGGACAAACAAAGAGGATAACACTAAAGCCGCTAAAGCTAAAACCACTGATAATGAAGAAGGGGAACAGAAAAAAACAATAATAATAATAATAATAATATTAATAGTAATAAAAGTTATTTATCACTGTGGTATGAGGTCTTGTCTGGGTAGTTAAAAGTAACCAGAAACAAGGATGAGTATCGAGAACCGGTACTAAGTAGCAAGTAGTATCAATAAGAGTATCAATAATTATCGGTATCTATAAGCAGTATCAATATCAATATTGGTAGCAACAAAATCCTATTGATACCCATCCCTAGCCAGCAACATGGATTAGATAGAATTAGGGTACAACTATGTATATATAACTTATAATACATATAAAGAATATACAGGTCAGGGTGTGCAGACTGTCATTGACTGTGTTCTCTCACATTAATTCTCATTGGTTCCATCTGGACAGGCTCCACCAATAAGATACAGCTTACATTTCGATCCTGATTAACAGATGTAAATCACACATCTCTTATTCACACTTTCCCTGCTGTTCAAGACTATTCCCTCATTGGACCTCTGTTGTTGAGACTTTTACAGAGATATCTGGAATACAATTTGAACCCTCCTCTAGCAGCAGGTTTTGGTGTTGCCCAAAAGGAATTATCTTTACCCGAACAACGGGCCGATTCAGTAGTGTTTGCTTCTCTTGTGGCTAGACGCCTAATTCTGTTAAATAGGAAGCAAGAATCAACAGCATCACATATTCAGTGGATTAGAGATCTTATGCACTTTCTACACATAGAAAAAATAGAGAATACTCTCGAGGCTCAACTGACAGGTTCAGGCAGCTTATCTTGTGTAGACAAACTAACACTGTGCTCCGTCCCATAAGCATAAGATATAGCTGGGCTTCTGTTGGACTGTACAAGCTCCATTACATCTGGACTTGGATCATTTGGATGGATGTTTTATTATTATTTTTTCTATTATCCAATGTTGTAACATTATCTTGTTTCCTTTTGTTATGACCACTAAAACTAATATGCTTTGTAATACTCTCAGAAAAGGTAACATTTTCTCCTTCCTGTCACTTTCCTGGAATAGCCCTACTGATTCAATGTTTTTGCGCAATCTAAAATATTTAAAATACATAAAGTTTAAAAAACAAAAATACATATATATAGCTTACAACCAACTGAAAAGGCATAGTACTGCCATGAACAGATGCATAAACCACAATCAAAATATTCTTGCTGCCTAATGAAACAAACACAAAATCTTTTACCTTTGCCAAGAAGCACAAAGGCCAAAACTGTGAATTAGCCTCGGAAAAGTACATCTTGGTGCCATTTCTGTCCCGAGTCCCATCAGTAAGAACACGGTAATGCACAAAGAACTGACTGGGTTGGAGGGAATTCTGCATCACAAACAGGATCAAACCATCTTTTACACAGGCAATCCTACATTACCAGGTACGACAGGTATTTGTCAAACACCAACAATTAATTGTATCTACACAAACGTAAAACACACACCTCCAGCCCACTTACACATTATTACATGTTTGCACATCCTGAGGAAATACATTATATTCGCATGTTAGACGTTTATCTGATGCTCTCTCAACCAAATCAACTTGCAAGCGAGCAGACTAAGCTTAAACCTAAATTACCACATTAGTAAGCAAGCAGTAGTAAGAAGATGTCAAAGTAAGTCACAGCCCCAATAATATTCTAGTGATCCGAGGTGTGCAGAGAAGAGAGGTTGAGACTTCATCTGGACCAGTCAAGGTTTATGGTAGAGCTAATCGAGTTATATTCAAAGCCAAAACAAAAAGATAATACAATATAAACAATGTAAAACATTTCCAAATGTACTGTTAAACTACTGATGAGGATATCTTAGGGCTCAGAGATGATAAATCCTGTTTATTTTCATTACATTGGCCCCTCACTTGTGTAAAATCATGTGAAGATTTTCTCATTACAGTGGTAAACTGAAATCTACTATGAATCTAGAACACTGTTAGGTAACGTTTCACAAGTAGAGCGGGACATTGAGAGTAGGCTAGTTTAAGTTAGCTAAGCTGAATACTGTCATCCTGTTCACAGCCATGGGTTTGAGAAAGTGGTTCAGTGGCTGGACAGCACTAAGTTCACAGCCAACGGTTGACGATCACTTTTTTTGAGCCGTCAGTATCATCGGCTACTACTAGCCCTCCGCTTAATGCTACATCCTGCCAGGCTAACATGCTGTTGAAACTGACACCCCTGTGGATGCTTTAGGAGAAGACGAGCAGTGTACTTGGGAGTAAGAAGAGATGTTTTCTTGCTGCCAGGTACCAGAGGAGGGACTGGTTGGAGTACTCCATGAAAGCGAATACAGCTTTCTGGCATTTTGATGCATTTCAGTCAATGTAAAATGTGTGTGTCCTTGTGTTTTTGTTCCAATTATTAGGAATGCCACAAGAATGCATTGTTTTTCTGATATTTTTCTTTAAATTTCCTCTTGAGGAGAGAACACCCAGTGGATTCGTTATCTTTATGCACAACTACGTTGCCACTTTCCAGTAATTTGGTTCCCCCCTTTGTATATTTGCTCTCGCTCTGACACTGAAGGAGAGTCAAGACACAGCGATGACCAGGCCATTTGAGAACTGGATGTCTATGTATGGCAGGGTGGCTGAGGTTGTTAGGTTGTTTGAATTTGACGTAAGCAGCTGAGAGCAGCCAACAGAGAGAGCGTAGGAGGAGAGAGAGAGAGGCAGGGGAGGGTGTGGAGTGGCTAAAAACGACGTAGGTTGCAGGGTTTTTTTTGCAGGTGCATAATGAATGTTTTGGGAGAGAGCTACAGTGGTCCAGAAAGTGGGTCATTGGCAATAAGCTCGACAGAGTCCCAGGTTAGGAACCTTTTCATTTTGACTCAGCAAAGCAGAGTGGAGGAGAGTTAAAGGGAAAATGCACACAAATGTCCAACGAAAGACTTGTTGAAAGACATTTAAAAATATCCCATATTTTGAGGCCAGGGTTATTTTTACCATTATTTCTGCAAATAATTCATGTTTCTGATTAAACTACAATGGAGTTACACTGGAAAAATAGAAATAAGACACAACATTTCACATATCGACATTAAACAATCAAACAGTGAGAAGGGCACCAATGTCTCTAACCACTTTATCCAAAGAGAAGCGTAGCCTCAACACTGCAGCCTCAAGATATCTTATATATATATATCACTGACAAAACCATATAAATATACAACCTAACAGACTAACTGACAAATATTTGCATACACACCCACCATCACCTGTTCATACCGTTTGAACTGAAGGTAAAAGTCACTGCAGGAAGAGTAGAAGTTATTTTCTGACAAACATGAAGCAGGTTCAAGGAAATAGATAGAAAAGAAAAAGAACAACATGCTACAACTGTGTACAGTTTCTGTTCAGATGTTGTGTGGGAGAGTTCATCATGTTAATATGTAACTATAATACAGCATATAAACTGTTGTGTCATTTAAAGGCTTGAACAGAAAAATCCCATAAAGTCAAAAAGGCTTCTAAGCTTCCACTCAGGCCAGAATCTTCCACCTCTTTAATTACAACATAATACAGTTTATTGCACATACAGTGTATTCAGCCTATCTACAGGCTGTAAGTAAAAACCCTCAGGTTATGACTGACTGATAAGGACATGTTATTCTTTACATAGGATAACAGAACATTTTTTTCAAACTCACTTGGATATTACCACCAAACAGGTTTCACTGTTCATTTTACATGAGTTAAAAAAAGTGTAATACACTCAGATTTAAGAGCCAGATGCCATGACATGCTTATGGGGATTTCTTACAGGAGGTAACTGATGGGATTATGTGATTTTACTAATATTTAGGGCAAAATCAGATGACAAATTCAACAGAAGATTCTACTTTCAGGGTCTCTAATGAAGACAGCATTCACTAAGATCCATATCTGAGCATAAAACGTGTCAATAGTGGCTAAATAAAGCAGACCTTCAATGAATGCAACTGACAATAAAACCGATATTAATAACATGGAAAGTCATAGAGCTCATTCTTATGCTGCTGTTTGAGAGAATTTAAAACTATATTTAAACAAGTTCAAGCATAATATTTAGGCAACTGAGAGAACAAGTTCAATGAGGGGTCATTTTCACCTGATCTGACGGGGGTTTGGCGAGGCAGCACGGTGCAGACCTGTCAATGGTGCAGACAGAGCACTGTTGCACTGTGACTAAGCTATATGGCTCCACCCAAGGGCGATGACGAGTACAACAAACCCAGCACGCTGCTGGGAAAAGGAAACCAATTAATTGCAAAGGCATTTTAATAGATAGCAGCAGTCATTCTCACTGCATCACACCGCCGGTTGTTTGCTCTCTCTGTTCTTCCCTCTGGTTGTTATTGTCTTCAAGGAAATAAACAAGGGATCCGCTTCATGCGATTTACGGACACAGTCCAGACAAAATATTTACATGAGCCAAATGATTCCTTCCTACGCTGTAAACTCAAACTTTTATTGGAGTTTCGGTGAAATGATGGCGACCTTAATGTGCCCTTGGTAGTTTCAGCGCGTCCTACCGGCGCTAACCGCTTTGAGGTCATCACAGACGACATGCTACATAGATGGTCCGCAGCTCCGCCGGCAGTAGCCCATTGTTTTAGGCGAAATACCCCGAAAACACGCCGTTTGATTCGTCATAAAGTAGCCCAGATTAAACATGGTCTAGCACCGGCACAACGCCGGGCAGTGGCGTCCTGCGTGTTAAGGCGGATTATCGGGGTTATCATCCTGTGAGAGCAACGTCGCCGGTAGCCAGCCGCGCTCCTCGTCATTTGTCCATCAACAGCACGTTATTAGCATGTGCAGGTTGCTAGCACATGTGTTAATGTGTCCTATTAAAACGTCCTTACCTGCATAATTGAAGGGAGGAAGCCGCCTCGCGCGCCTGCGGTACCGACATGGTGGTGATGGTGATAAGGTCTCGGGGGTTTGTTGGTCTCGTGTTGCAGCGAGATCTCTGTGATGTGAAGGGGAATCAGGCTCCTCCGGTGTCCGCCGGCTGCTCTGGTCACAGTCTCTTTGAAAAATGACTCATGTGGAGGAAAAGTACTAAACCCAAACAGGATGTTGTATGTAACGTGGGTTAACGGTAAATATTGTTCATTCAAAAGTGTCTTAAAAATACGATGCGCTTATATTACAGGATGAAGTAAACCATAAAACAGTCATTTCGCTTACATGATGCAGTGGCCGGTGTCTTTCGAGGAGGTAAATGGAAAAGACATGATTGTGCAATAGAAATAGAAACCATGACCATGTCGATACCCAGAACCGTCGGAGGGGGGCAGCAGAGACCACATTTACTCCACTACACCAGAGTTTGGTGTCACCTGTTGGGGGCGCGTTTGACCACAGGATGCATCCTGGAGTCACTGACTAACGGTTTTTATTCTGTTGAAATCTGTGCGACAGATGTGTCACCAGGTCTTTGCTCGTTAAACAGACAAGTATTTCCATATAAGGAAAACATGACATCATATTTGCTGCACAAAGGTTCAGTTCAAAGTCTGCTAAAGATCTCTGGTTCTCACGAGCCTACTGTTGGAAGGACGCCGCCTTAAAACACATTATGTTGCCTTTATAAGGAACAGTAGTTTTGTGTGTGTGTGTGTGTGTGTGTGTGTGTGTGTGTGTGTGTGTGTGTGTGTGTGTGTGTGTGCTTTGTTGTGTATTTGCTGCAAACTGCTTTTGTCTGTATCTGTAGATTTTAACGCAAAGCACAAATGTGCCAACTAAATAACCTTTTATGGCTGTTGATGCATAATTACGCACATGAGTAAAGACTATAAAGTGTAAACAAACAACAAGACAGGATTTAACCACGACGTCGCAGTTTTATTTGTGTTTATATAACATATATACAACATTTGCTGAAAATAGCAAAAATAAAATACATCCCAACAGAGATACTTGCAGTGACACACAATATGTCTACAGAGTTAATCTGCACAGACTCAGGACATTGAAGTCTATAGTGCAAATACATACACACTGACCCTTTGGGTCTTACAGGGCTGTTTCAATGGCCCTTAATCACTTAGTCCGCAATGAGGACTAAATATTTAACGTATACATACATGCAGATTTAAAAAAAATACGACTGTCTAAACTTGTCGACTTATACAGGACAACAGACTCGTGCGCAAAACGTAAGTATATAATACTCAACCAATACGATTTAACGATGAATTCTGGCTATTCATCAACGGAAACGAGGCGGTAAATCACTGTGCATATTTACAAGTGATGCTATCCCAACATGTTGCCTTCATATGAAACACTTCTCACAGGCTCTACCAGGGTCTCCACATGGCAGCGCTGACAGCCTGCGGGCCTGGCTGCGCCCGGCTGGGAGCCACTGCGCTGCTGCGGGACTGACTCTCCAGTCTGGAGCTGAAGCTGGATTTGAGGCTCAGGAGTCTCTGTTGTATCTGAGGGAGAGACCTGGAGCTCTGAGCGCAGCAGTTCAGGCAGGTTGGGGGGACGGTGGCGGATGCGGACTGCTGGACGAAGTCATTCACCCGCTGGCACGCGTCTTGATCCAGGCTCGTTTTGGGAAGCAGAGCGGAGACGCGCTGGAGGCAAGCTTTGTAGCCTTCCTTGTAAGTGTCTGTGGAATCTGAAAAGGAAATCAAATGTTAGTTTCATTGTTAAAAAATAAGAAGAGTCCACTGTGCATATATGTATCTACCAATAAACAACGAACAGAACCATTACTCACTTTTGGTGTTAACAGGGGGAATGTCGCTGAGGAACCTCACAGTCATTTCCAGGATGTCTGCTTTCTCAAGCTTGGAGTAGCGAGTCTTCTGGAGAAAATAATAAAAAGCAAATGTTAAACATGTGATCATAGAAGTTGCCTTGACTTTTGTAAATATGAAAATTATTTTCTCAGCATATATTTAAATGTATATAATAACTTACATCTCTGCCTGTGAGGGGAAGGATGAGGTTTTTCAAATGGTCCAGGCTGTCGTTGATACGGGCCCGCCTTCTTTTTTCCATCAAAGGTTTCATAGTCTGAAAAGAACACATAATATTAAGCATTCATTCATTTCAAAAGTAAAACGTTAGAGAAAATATTGAAGATAATAAAACATATTCAGTGGCTCCGCTTACCTTTCTGAGCTCAAGAGCCTCTTTTCTTTTGGCCACAGTTAGCCTTGGAGAAAAAGTCTGGAGAGCTTCACAAGCCATATTTGGAGACATTTTCAGGGTCGTCTTTGTGCTTGAGAAGTGTCCGAAACAGAAGTCGACAAAGATGTGTCTCTCACTGCCAAACGCTGCGGTATATATCCAGGTCCGTGGCGTCGGTTTCCGTGCGTCACGGGTACGCCCCCAAGCCAACATGAAACGATTTGGACAGGCCACGTATTCGATGAAAACAACACGAACCCATCAAATTTAGTAAGATAACCATCTGTCTTCTATTCTAATCCATGCGTAACAACTGCAGTGCGTGTCTGCGTTATGATCCATAGACCAAATCAAACAAAACCTGCGTCTAGAAGCTGGAAGCTGTGCGTAAAGAAGCTTGGACGCAGCAAATGATCATTCACCCAGTGCAAATTCTGCAATCTCTTACATTTTTAAAAAATTAAATAGTATAAAATTAGGTTAGTAATTTCATTACTAGATGTAATAAGTTATTTGTAAAACACACACAGATACAAACATATTAACATATATTTACTGGTGAGCAATTACGCAGTGCTATACAAAAAGCTCAGTACAAAATATAGGGCATATAGCTTTCATTAATGTTGTAGTCTAACTATAAAGCACAGCAGACTACATTAAAAAAAAAACAATATATGTTCTCCGCAACAACAGTTTCTCAGTTTGCATTATTTGTTTGCCAGCTGGATTTCCTGTTTCTCTTCGACGCTGAAAGTTTACTGAATTTTATTGTGTGTAATGTATTTGTGTATTTTATACGTTTTATTTCTTATTCTTTAGCTCACATATAACATTTTTAATGAATATCCACACTTAGAACAACAGGGTGTAATACATACATCACTGGCATAGGGGTCAGGCTTGTGTGTATGGAAAAGTGTCCACAGAGATACAGACTCTTACTCCAATCTCATACCCAAGCGACGCTACTTTCAAGTAACATCTGCTCTTAGATTTTGACAACAATAGTTTTGCATATGACGTTTTTATGCTGTTTCTGCCCGGGGGAGTCTCTACCTGTAGGGTGTATTCTGCTGCTGCCAACGCCTCACGCAGGGCGGTGGGGGCTGAAAAACAGAGGGCGGGTGGGTAGAAAGGGAACATGTACGTCAAGCACAATAGCCATAACAAAATATAAAATGAGCCTGGAGACGAACTTAATATGTTTTATATTTAGACTATTTAGGCAACTTGTGGGCTTTGACTCTATGTAACCAGACTTTGCGCCCTGTGAGGAATTCATCTAACTTTGAATTACAACTTTAAGATTTTCAGATTTTCAACAAAAACTGGAAAGACATGACAGCCCATCAAATACCATTGCACTCAGGGGAACCACGCGCGCAGCACGCGCCACGGGGACCAGATGGCTGTCTGTTACCGAGCTTCCAACCCCACCCCCATACACTCCTCCCCCTGCACCGCACCAGCATCCTGAAGAGCCAGAGCCAGTATCCCCTGTCCCACCATGAATCCAGCCATCTCTCATCCGTGCGCGCGCTAACACACACATACACACACACACACACACACACACACACACACACACACACACACACACACACACACACACAGAACAGAAGCTCTTTTTCCATAAACTTTACACGCACGATACATGATCTCCACGCAGTTTTGGCGTGGGTCCCCCATCTGCATGCTTCCTATGGGTCTATGTTGTTAGTGGCCAACTGAAACAAACCTTTCTCGCCCCCCTGTTTGGAAACTCCGAGCTGCGATTGTCTCTTTCAGCTTGACTCCTGGATATTTTAGCGTCCAAGCTATCATGAGATGCTTGTTTATCAATATTATATGGTGATTACGAAACACAAAGCTCAGTCTGTTGATGGAGATAAAGGGTGTTTGTCTGGAATAGCAGGTTGCATGACTCCGTCCACAAGGTTCTCTTTGAACAAGTATTACATTAAATATCAAATAGCTCACACACTCAGAATCTTAAACAGCACACAGGTGTAGTTTTATTCTGACATGGTGACACTTTCCCAAAATAGAAGCATATAACCTATAAAGAACTAGAAATTGTAAAATATATGGAAGCAGAATGCACTTGTGCAGTTAGATTTTTCTCTTTTTGTGGCGCAAAGGATATGAATGTTTATTACAACTCAGATGGATCTGGGTGCGATTCAACGAAGCTATATCTCCGAGTATTTCCACTACTTGAGATGAAAATAAATAAAATCTAAAGAGTCGAAATGTGAAGGTCACCATCCTGTAACAAAGCCAAGCGCTGTCCTGAAACTGAGAGGCACACTTGCTGCACGCGCCCGTCCCCGCTGGGGGATGGATGGATGGAGGGGTGCTGAGGATGATGGGGGTTGGGGGTGGAGGTACACATCTCCGTTTCGCTCTTACGGTTAGAGTCCTCTTTTGTCTTTTCGAGCAAATTCGGCGTCGGTAACCCATCTGTGCTGGCCGGATAACAGGGAGCCTTTGTCTGAAAATGTTCCAACACTTCATGGGAATTAAGAGTCACATGAGGCGGGCTGTGGGATGGGGGAGAAACACTGAACGGGACTCCACCTGACTTTTGTCGCAGCGTGATGCGAGTTGAGAGAAATCAGGCAGCCTCGGTGTTTTTCCCGATGCTCAGACAATAGAGAACACCATATTCCACTGTAACAACTATAAACAACGTTTGATCTGCAGCTCAACAGGTCTAAAATGTGTAAACATGTGTTGACATAATGCGTAATGGCCGCAATCTATTATCTCCAGTATGTAGGCTAATGAAAGCAGTCTTGTGCACGACTCTAGGACAAGAAGTCCGCTTGCACGGCTCTTACAAGTAGTACAAACTACAAAACACAACAATATATCCCAATTATAGCGAAACAAAACGTCAATGTGACTACTTGTTGTCAGGTGAGTATAATTTGCACTGGTCTCTTCCCTTTGTTTGACTGACTGGCTGTGCCAAAACCAAGATAACCAAGTTATCACTCTTGATATTGAATTTTGTTGACAATCCTGATTCATTTCTATTTGTTATGATGAATATTTTGTGCCTCTCTACTATTACAAG